GACTGTTGACCTCACAAAGTGTGGGTGAGCTTGTGACTCTGTGACAGCCCTGACAATCAGAATGCCATGGAAGTGACACTGTGCGGCTTCTGGGGCTCTGTTCAAAATGGCCATGCAGCTTCCGTCTGGGGTGTGCTCTTCCTTGGGATGCCCGCCCTGGGAACAGGGCACACTGTGAGGAATCCCAACCTAACCCACATTTCAGTGGTTTGGGGTATATTCAGGGTCGTGCATACATCATCACTGCCTAATTCCAGAAAATTTCTGTCACCCCAAAAAGAAACCCTGTACCACCAACTCTCCTCCTGCCCCTACTAATCTATTTTTTGTCTTCATGGATTTGCCCGTTCTGCACATTTCATGTAAATGGAATCACACAACATGTGGCCTCTTGTATCTGACTTCTTTCACTTAGCATACTGTTTTCAAGGTTCATCCATGCTGTAACACGTATCAGTACCTCATTCCTTTTTATGGCTGAATAATGTTCCATTGTATGAATATACCACATCTTTTTATCCATTCATTAGTAGTTGGACATTTGGGTAGTTTCCACTTTTTGGTTATTAGGAATAATACTGCTGTGAACATTTGTGTACAAGCTTTTGTATGGATGTATGTTTTCAAATCTCTTAAATTCAAGTACTTTAAAATCACCTATTAATATTAAATGGTACATAATACATAAAAATTAAATGATACTGAATAATAACAAATGATATATAATTTAAATAATTCTTATTCATTAAAGCAGCTTTCCTCAGAGCAGCAAACCTGTTCCCTTATAGTAATTCAGACATAATATGAAACACTGGGTAGACTGAAAGTCATAAAATGGCACTATTTCAAACCCAGGTTTTTCACTAGTTTACACAAACCTTTCACCACATCAGTCTGAATTAATGAGACACCGCTTTACTGTTTCTATCTAAAAAAAAAACTAGGGCTATTATGCAGTCTTCAAAATTCCTCTTTTGACGTTTCAAAGTAAAACCTATCTTTTTTTTTTTTTCTTGCAGTACACGGGCCTCTCACTGTTGTGGCCTCTCCCGCTGCGGAGCACAGGCTCTGGACGCGCAGGCTCAGCGGCCATGGCTCACGGGCCCAGGCGCTCCGCGGCATGTGGGTTCTTCCCAGACCGGGGCACGAACCCGTGTTCCCTGCGTCGGCAGGCGGACTCTCAACCACTGCGCCACCAGGGAAGCCCAAACCTATCTTTTTAATTTGACATACAGGGAGAGGCTGGAGTCTCTTCAGGAATTTGGGGTTTGATTTAGAATTCCTGTGAACACGTAAACCCTGGGACTGATCTGTTTGGGTTTACCTAATAAAAGTTCAATAAAAATAGGCTGGTTTTTTTTTTAAATTCTGGATTAAGTAAAAACTCACTTATGTGGGAGTTTGGGATCACATTTAGAGCCTCAATCAGTAGACTGTTATGCAAACGAAAACTCTGTTGCAAGGTTCTTTGTCCACAGACATGATTTCCCTTCAGGTTGATTTCAGGTTGGTCCTGCTTCTCTCCCCAGTGCCTGCTGCTGTCTTCTCCAGCAAGCCTCACCACGGTCTTCCTGAGTTTGCCTGTGTGCTTCTTGTAAATCTAGTAAGGAAACAATGAGGTGCTTTTCTGGGGGCAGTTGCTCTACAGGCCACTTGTAGAGAAGAGACCAAGCTAATAAAAAAGTGTGGATGTTTTCTCCAGTGGAAAATTACAAGTTTGCTTGGTTTTCATCCTTGGCACCAAGTCTTGGGTTCCTCATCACTGAATAGACTTCTTTCTGCTCGGCTTTCTCCCAGCCAGTGTCCTGGCACACTATCAGAGGGGGAAATAATTAGAAAGAAGTGTCTTATAGGGATGAGAAGCAATGGTAGCTTACCAGATGGGGATAATCATGGATCTTCAAACAAACCCTCGACCAGACAGAACACTATTTGTCTTCTCGCCTACATTAACTATACACAGTGTTCACAGCTCCTGAAACATGTACGCACCGAGAGAGGGGGAGGATGTCTGCTCAGCTTCCCTCCTTTTCAGGCGAACCCCTTGGTTGCTCTTTGGTACATGAGCGGTGACCCAACTGTAGCCCCAGAGAGTTTTCCAAGAGCTTCCCTCAACTTCTCATAGTTCTTCTGTTGCTGTGGAGGAAAGAGTCTCATCGCATTCTTGGTTCACTCATGATTTAGGTTATGTGAGTGGGGGGTGGGAAGGGAGAGATGGCTTTGTTATTTCTATATAATGACACTTGCTAATTGTAAAACTATCAAAGTATAGATAGGTAGGTTAAAAAGCATCTGACATCTCACTTTTCAGGGGTGACAAGTGTGTCACTCTGGTGAGCATTTCTGGTAATCTCTGTTTGATGTGCATAATTATTCATAAGAATTTGTCAAATATATTTGTGAACATAGTTCATCCAGAAGCTGACCCTGAGACAAGGATCAGAAAAGAAGCAATTCATTTGCAAGGTGCAGCAAAAGGTAATGGAGAGTGGGAAAGTAAGACAGGAGGGTAAGGTAGCCAATTAAGGGTGATCATCAAGTTAGCTGCTGCTGTGGGTGGATGGAGCTTAATCCCACAGAGAAACTCTGGAAAGTGCTGTAGAACAGGAGCCTCAGAGATATCTCAGTGGAAGGGTGAGGGAGCAGAAGTATTTATACCCCAGGCCCCACTGGCTGAGACTGCCCCTGGTGGGTGTTAATTCTGAGTACTTCCAGCCTGAACAGCCTTCCAAGACATTGGAGAAAGTCCCCCAGGAAAGAGAGGCAGCTATTAGCAGGTGGAGGGCAGCCAGACACACACATAGAAGTGGTATTGCTTGGAAGATGCGCCAGGCACTGTTCTAGGTGCTGGGACACAGTAGGAAACAAAACAGAGAAAAAGTTCTGCCCTCATGGAGCATTTTTTCTATTAGGGAGAATAAATATTGAATAGTAAGCAGGGTAAGTAAGAAACGTACGGAATGTGTTCCACGGTGACAAGGAATGTGGAGAAAAATAAGTACTGTGGAGTTCTGGGGAGGAGGGAGAAGGGGTTGGTTGCAATCAGCAAAAAAGGGATCAGGGCAGGCCTCACTGAGAAGGTGACACTCAAGGAATGACCGAAAGGAGGGGAGGGGGAAGCCCACCACATGGTTATCCAGGTGAAGAACATTCCAGGCAGAGGAAACAGCAAGGCCAAAGGCCCTGAGTCAGGAAGGTCTCTGGTGTGTGTGAGGAACAGCAGGGCCTGAGAAGCTGAGCAGAGAAGGGGAAATGGCAGGAGAGGAGGCCCTGCAGAGCAGAACCCTGGTGACACTGTGCTACCTCAGGTGCCGGAAGCAGAAGACAGCAGAGTCTGAGTCAAGCTGTGCTGCTGTGCTGACAGTGAACTGAGGGGGGGCCAGGGGCGCAGGGAGGGCAGCAGGAGGCCCCACAATACCCCAGGTGGCGGCGGCGGAGGAGTGAGATGCTGCTGCCATTGTGCGCAGGTCGGATGTGGGGTGTGAGAGAAAGGAGTCAACGGGTTTGGCCTGAGCAACCTGAAAGATGGAGCTGCCTTTTCCTGAATCAGGGAAAACTTCAGAAGAAGGACATTTGGGGTCAGGGGTGGTAGGGGGCCTGGCTTTGGGCATCTTATGTGTGTGATGTCTGTTGGACACCTAAGCAGGACTGTCAGCAGAAGGCTGAGTGTAGCTCAGAAGTTCGAGGAGGTCCGAACTGGATGTAAACTGGGGAGTTTGTCAGCATACAGATGATCTGAGACTGGCTGAGATCCCCATGGGAGCAAGCTAAACGGAAAAGAGGCCTGGGACCAAACCCTAGGATTGGAGTGGTCAACTGTATGTACGTGTATACACACTACATTTATACAGATGGATATGCAGAAACACGCTCTCTGTTTAGATATATACATACACACACCAGTAGTTTCAGATCAGTGGTATTATATAAACAGATCTCAATTTTCTTCCCACTAAAACTCAATTTTCTTCACACTAAATCTGCTGGGAATCCTGCTCCATGGTGAAAATATCTGTCTGCTCCATTAAATTAATGGCTGCATAGTATTTCATAGTGTACATTACCATAATTAATTGTCCTCTATAGACAAATATTTTTCCCAATTACAGAATTTTAAATTACACAGCAATGGGCATCATGTGCATTCCTCTCCCATCTATGTGACCATCTCCTTGGGATAAACCCTAGAAGTGGGGCAGCTGTGGGCAAGGATGTGCCCTTTTTATGTTCTGATGCAAGACTCCTTCCCGGCAGCTCCAGTCATCTGAGATGTATTCAATATGGATCAGCTGCCGACCTTACGGAAGAACTACTGGGATGTCATTCCAGGTAAATTCTGTTCTACAGGGACCCTTCTCAACACGGGGCAGCTTTCTGGGTAATCGCTGTTAGGAACCAGGCACAGAGGTTTAGGGCAAGTCAGAAAAGTCCAAGACAGGAAGCAATCTGTCGGTACTAGCTTTTGGTCTGACATATGGAGCTACAGCCAATTTCTAAGTGTAAAGCCACTCCATTTCCACACAGAGCAGCACAACGCGCCAGGCCTGCAGGCTCTCCAGCAGGGCCATTAAAAGCTTATTACATCAAGTGCAAATGCAGCAGCCAAAGGCAGATGTGCCTTTTGTGAAATGACTGTAATTAACGCCATATCTTCCTCCGAACTTTGTTTTCGCTGGCTGGATTTGTCATCGTCCTGTAAGGACAAGCCTATTACATACCTCGGATTTTTTCCCTTTACCTTGTTGTTCCGAGCAAAAGCATGACCCATCACCTGTCTGGGCAAATACTGAGTGTTTGGATGGTGTCAGGACGTCCTGCACGTTCAATGGTAACCTTGAGAATAACATCTACCACTGCCAAGTAATTGGTCAGCAGCCTCTGCCAAGAACTTCAGGGTATTAAGGGATAATGTATTTAGTCACAGTGTCCTCAAGCACAGGGAAATGTACTGAAGCACCTTTGATTCAGAAGGAAAATAAGGAAAACGACAAATACAGAGCCATGCCTTGGATCCTGTTTATTCCCGTCGATGCGTTGGTCTGTAGACAGAATTCAACCCAAGACTCTGGACCCATCACTGGTGTTCGACCCACAGAAATTGTAGGTCAGCGGCACTCATCCAGGGAGAACTAGTCCGCTATACCAGGTTCTTAACCATCAAGATACACCAAGAAAGTACCTGATAGTCTGAAGTTTTAAAAAGTGTCTGAACTCGTGATCTGTATGCTCTTCAGCTCCCGCAGTACAAGCGCCTTTTCCACGGGATGCCCCTTTACCACAACAGAGCTTCCAACCAGTTCAGCTATCAACACTGTTTCTTCCTCTTCTGCTCTGTGAGTGATGCTTGGTCCAGCCAGGAGGCCGATGAGAAGGGTTTTCTTGTATGTCGTGGCTGAGATAAGTCTTTTATCCCAGGATACAGCAGGCAGAAGGCAGCCTCCAGAATTCATACCAAGTTCCATTCTTCAAATTACCATATTTCATAGTTTATTATGAGATAATTGCCACCAGGCCTATAAGCCTCAGCACCATGTTAAAATCAGAGCCCGGGAGTGAACGCCACCTGTGTTCTCTTCCTCCCCCGCTCCACTCGTGCTGCCTGCCGGCCTCTCCTCAGAACGCAGTGTAGTAGTTCTCTGTGGTGCTGACGATGTCACTCTGGTCCTCCAAGAGCTCCAGCACCTGCCGCAGCACAGTTTCACTCAGGACTGGGCTGAGGCTCAGGCGAGCACAGGCCAGGATGTGCAGGAAGTGGCAGCCCTTCTCCACGTCTGCAGGAAAAAGGGAGTTGGCTAAGCTTGGACACACCTGTCAGACCCTCCTCTCTCTCTCCTGTCCTCTCCTCTAAATGGAAGTCCTTCTTCAGAGTTCCTGGATCAGAACCTGCAGCTTAATAAGATCCCCAGATGATTCTTATGCACATTAAAGTAGGAGATGCACTGGCCTAGCTTATCAGTGAGAACGAACCAAAACACCTGTTCTCAGGTCTGTGCCATGGACCACTGCTCGGGGGATGCAGGCCTTCAACCTTCCAGGATTCCCAACCAATAATTTTATACTCATAACCCAGTGGGGATTTAGCGCTTGGTAGGCTTTTTTCTCTAATGAAGTTACATGTACGAGCACATGCATTCAGTTCTAACCCCTGGCTTCCCAGGCGGGAGCCCTCTTGTGGCTGACAGCAGAGCCGGCTTGCAGCAGCCTCCATATACCTTCTGTAACTCCTGGACGGTGGGACTGTGGTGGTGACCTTTGGCCTGTTCTCACTCTTCTCTGCCTAGGCTTCCAAAAAGTCTGCCTGTGACGGCTGTATCCTAGGAACCTCTCACCCTCTACCCAAAACAAATGAGACCATTCGTAGCAGTTCAGCACGAGTGACCGCTTTCCTAGCTGAAATCAATGATTTGGAGTAGTGGTATTCACACTGAAGTTATGACCATTAGAGGATCATGAAATCAATTTAGTGGGTTGTGGTTAGCATTCTTTTCTTACCAAACAGGCTAGAGTATGAGATTACAGAATGTATTGCATTTTAGGTACGATAAACATTGAGAAACTTTATATTCAACTATACATGTATATGTATAGTTGAAATAAAATTTATAATAAAATTATATAATTTCCTAGGTGATGATGTAAAATTTATTTGTAACATCGAGTCAAAGTCAAACCTCATTCCTGGAAACAAACCCTCCCCAGTTTCCACCAAAGACCCATTCACAGGGCCAGGCCTCTCACCGCCATATCCCCAGCATCTGGCCCACTAGTGCTCTGCACAGTCACTGAATGTTGTTTTCAGGTGATAAAATGCTTTAGGCTCCAGGAAAGTCCTCAAAGAGGGGTTGTGGTGATGGGCAAAGCATGCTTGAGATTCTGTGCACCTTTGTGGCTTTGGGCAAGTCACTGCATCTTTAAGCCTCAGTTTTCTGACCCATGGGGAGTGGGGCTGGGGGGCACCTCTGAGGTCCTTCCCAGCTCTAAGGGTCAGGGATGCTCACAGGCCGTGGTCCTGGGCTAACAAAGACCTGCAAATTCGGACCTCTAGTGGCTAGTCAACTCATTGTTCCTCCCGACTGGGTTACTGTTGGGAAACTCGCCACCTCCCCTGGTCTCCACATTTCCAGGCTATTTCTTCAACATTCATTCGATCAAGATTCCCTGAACACCTACTACATGTGCAGCGCTGAGCAAGGAGGAGCAAGTACAGAGTGCAGACAGAGAGCTGACTCTGGAGTCCAAAGGACCCGAATAAAAATGCTGGCTCTATGACTGGGGCAAAGTGGTCCAGGTCTCTCAGTCCGCATCCTCATCTGTTAAATGGGAAGAAAAGCACCCACTTCACTCATGGTTGTGTGGGTGAAAGGAGACCCATGGTGGGGGCTTCTTCCATGGAGAATTACTATGACTCTATCGTCATATCCATAACCTAAGAAGATGCACATAACCTTGTCCCTGCTCTAAAGAAGCTTTGACTCTCCCCGAGAGGAAGGGTTGATGACGGAGGGTGAAGGACTCCAACCAGACTGGGCTTGCACACAGCAGAGAGGAAGCCCTGGGAATTTCAGCACTGCTCGGCTTGTGATCTTAGTTCTTTTAAGACCTGGGTGCTCAGGCTCAGGGCTCAAGGTGACTTACAGGCATATGTGGTCAGCAATGCTGACTGCCCCAAAGGCCTTAAACTAATTCTTCACAAAGGCCATTCTGCCATCGAGGGTTGCCTGGTAAGGCTGTTCACTAAGTGACCTTCCATTCACGTGGGGAGAAGGATTGGTGTTAGTTCTTTAAATGTTTGGAATTCACCAGTGAAGCCATCAGGTCCAAGGCTTTTCTTTGTTGGGAGATTTTTGATTATTGATTCAATCTCCTTACTATGTATCTATTCAGACTTTCTATTTCTTCAGGATTTAGTCTTGGTAGGTTTTGTGTTTCTAGGAATTTCCATTTCACCTGGTTATCCCATTTGTTGGCATACAATCGTTTACAGTACTTTGTTATAATCCTTTTTATTTCTGTAGAGTCAGTACTAATGTCCTCATTTTCATTTCTGATTTTAGTAACTGGAGTTTTTTCTCTTTTTTCTTAGTCTACCTAGCTAAATGTTTGGCAATTTTAGGGATCTTTTCAAAGAACCAACTTTTGGTTTCATTGATTTTCTCTATTGTTTTTCTATTCTCTATTTCATTTATTTGTGCTCTAATCTTTATTATTTCCTTCCTTCTGCTAGCTTTGAGTTACTTTCTTCTTCTTTTTCTAGTTCCTTAAATTGTAAAGTTATATAAGTGTTCTTAGCTATACAGTTCCCCTCATACAAAGCTCTTCTGTGTCCTAGAAGTTTTGGTACTTTGGGGTTTTGTTTTCATTCATCTCTAAGTATTTTCTAATTTCCCATATGATTTCTTCTTTAGTCTACTGGTGAAGAGTGTGTTGTTTAATTCCCACAAATCTGTTAATTTTTCAGTTTTACTTCTGTTATTGACTTTTAACTTCAGAAGATGCTGGTCGGAGAAGATACTTTGTATGATATCTACCTATTAAAATCTATTGAGACTTAATTAATGGTCTCTCCTGGAAAAGGTCCCACGTACATGTTGTATGCTGTATGTATGCTGTTGTCAGGTAGTCTTTTGTGTGCGTCTGTTAGATCTAGCTGATTTATTGTGTTATTTAAGTCCTCTATTTCCTTACCTTCTGTCTAGTTGTTCTATCCGTTATTGACAGTGGGATACTGAAATCTCCAACTATTATCATAGAACCACTTACTTGTTTCAATTCCGTCAGTTTTTGCTTCATATATTTTGACGGTCTGTCATTAGGTACAAAATGTTTAAAATTACTATGTCTTCTGGCTGTATTGAACCTTTTATTAATATATAATGTCCTTCTTTGTCTCCTGCAACATTTTTTTTTTATTTAGTTATTTATTTATTGGCTGTGTTGGGTCTTCATTGCTGTGCGCAGGCTTTCTCTAGTTGTGGTGAGCGGGGGCTACTCTTCGTTGGGGTGTGCAAGCTTCTCGTTGTCGTGGCTTCTCTTGTTGCGGAGCATGGGCTCTAGCCGCGTGGGCTTCAGTAGTTGTGGCACGTGGGCTCAGTAGTCGTGGCTTGTGGGCTCTAGAGCGCAGGCTCAGTAGTTGTGGCGCATGGGCTTAGTTGCTCCGCAGCACGTGGGATCTTCCCGGACCAGGGATCGAACCTGTGTCCCCTGTATTGGCAGGCGGATTCTTAACCACTGCGCCACCAAGGAAGCCTTCCTGAAACATTTTTGATTTAAAAGTTTATTTTGTCTGATATTAGTATAACTGCCCCTGTTCTCTTTTGGTTACTATTTGCATGGGATATATTTTTCTGTTCTTTCACTTTCAACCTATCTGTGCTTTTGGATCTAAAGTGAGTTTCTTGTAGTTGGCATATAGTTGGAGTTCTCGGGTTTTTTTTTTCAATCCATTCTGCTAATCTCTGTCTTTTGATTGCAGAGTTCAATCCATTTACATTTAACCTAATTACTGATAAGAGGGACTTACTTCTGTCATTTTGCTATTTGTTTTCTATATGCCTTATAGCTTTTGGTCCCTCAATTCCTGCATTACTGTCTTCTTTTGTGTTTAGTTGATTTTTTAAATAGTGAAATGTTTAAAATTTCCTTTTGTGTATATTCTAGAGCTATTTTCTTTGTGGTTACCACAGGGATTACATTTAGCATCCTATAGTTATAACACACTAATTTGAATTTATTCTAGTTTAACTTCAATAATATATAAAACCTCTGTTCCTTCTCCTTTGCAGCTCTGTCCCCACCCCTTTCAGTTGTTGATGTCACAAAACCACAACTTTATACACTGTGCCCAAGAACACAGACTAATAATTCTTTTAAGTGTATTAGGCTCCTAAGATTCTTGGTTTACAGGTTATTTTTCTTTTAGCATTTTGAATATATCAGCCTACTGCCTTCCAGCCTCCAAAGTTTCAGATAAGAAATCTGATCATCTTACTGATGTGACAAGTTGTTTTTCTCTTGTAGCTTTCAAGATTCTTTCTTTTGTTTTGACTCTCAAAAGTTTGATTATAATGTGTCTTGGTGTGCTCTCTTTGAGTTCATCTTAATTGGAGTTCACTGAGCTTCTTGGATGTTTATATTCATGTCCTTCATCCTATTAGGGCCGTTTTCAGCCATTATTTCTTCAAATATTCTCTCTGCCCCTTTCTCTCTTCTTCTGGGACTCCCACAATGCATATGTTGGTCCATTTGATGATGTCCCACAGGTTCTTTAGGTTCTGTTCACTTTTCTTCAGATTTTTCCTGCTCAGATTTGCCTTTGAATCACTGGTAAACTTTTCACTTCAGTTACTGTACTTTTCAGAATTTCTTTTTGGTTTCTTTCTAGTTTTTGTGTCTCTGTATTGATATTTTCTATTTTGTTCACCCATCATTTTCTTAAGCATCTTTAAGACAACTGTTTCAGAGTCTTTGGGTAATAAATCTGCCATCAGGTCTTTTTCAGGGACAGTTTCTGTTGCTTATTTTTCCCTTTGAATGGGCCATAGTTTCCTGTCTCTTTGAATGTCTTTCGTTTTTAGTTGAAAACTGGACATTTGAATCTAATAATGTGGTAACTCTGGAGATTAGATTCTTCACCTTCTGTGGTGTTTGTTGCTTTTTGTTATTGTTTTTATTTTTTTGGTTGTTGTAGGCTGTTTCTGTGCCAAGGAGCAGCCTGAGATGGAAACCTAAGGTCTTCTCAGGTCTATTTCTGAGCCTGTGCCTTTCCCTGGGCGTGTGTGGTCGCTTTCTAATTTTACCCATATATGCAGGTGTTTTTGAATGTTCTAGTCTTTCTTTTCTGGCTCCAGAAGGGGTAAAAAAGAGAAATGAAGGGGTTTAAAAAAAAGGGTGCCAGTCTTTTAAATCCCCTGGAAGTCACTTCAGCTGTTGGGTGAGCAGCTTAAAACAATGGCCACCTACCTCTCTGCCTGCACCTCTGTGATCAGAAGCAGCAACTGGTGATCAGAGCACAAATCCCTGATACATGGAGGACTGGGTCCTTTTTGCCCCCACTAGCTCGCACAAGCTCTGTACAAACTGCTCCAGAAACACATGCACAGCCCCCTGCCATGTAGCTGGGGATGGGGGATGAGTAGCTGTTACTAAGATCTGAAAATTGACTGAAATTAACCCCAATTCATTGTCCAAACCTTCCTCTGGAAGTTGCTAGCCTTGATAGACTCCAGAGTTCCAAAATAGCTACATCAGACAGATGCAATTGTTGTCTAAGTGGAGGGAAGGATTCTTGGTGTTCTTACTCTGCCATATTCCTAAGAGTTTCACAAAACACCAATTTATGTCATCCTCATAACAACCCATGATGTAGGTACGATCATTATCCCTGCTTTGCGTGTAAAGAAACCGAGGCACAGACTTGCTCAAGGCCACACAGCTACAAAGTGGCAGAGCTGGGATTCAAACCCAAGCAAGGTGGCTCCAGAGCCCAGCTCTTCACAACTATGCCATGCGGGCCATCTTCAGACAAACCCTATGTCAGTGCTTTAGGGACCTAAAACTGGCCCATGTTTATAATCCTTTCATTATTGTAGGTTTACCCTCTGCTGAAATATTCATAAGTGACTAAAGGTTTTAAGTTCTCCTACCAATCATACTGCCAAGGAAAACTCAATGCTATGTTTCATACTGAAAGGTTAGAAACAAACTAAAGGTTCTGCAGGAATACTTAAATAAATGGTCGAATATCTATCAATACAGATAGTGGAATACTGTGCAGGCATTAAAAAGACAGGTACTTTTACACATACTGTTGCTGAATGACTGCTATAAGCCAACGTTAGATTTAAAATACAAGATATAAAGCACTGAGTATTGTATGCTAAGCTTTACTCATGTTTTTTAGTAAAGGATAAACTATACAAACATGCTTATAAGTGCATATAACATCTCTAGAAGGATATGCCAGAAACTAGTAACACCCACTGCCTTTGGAAAGGGGAACACAGAGCCTGGGGCTCGGTGTTGGGAGGGAGTCTCACTTTTTCTGTGTGTGTTTTTGTACTTTTTGACTTTTTATCCTGTGCATACATTATTCAGAATAATGTTTTAATGTCATAGGTATTTCTTATGAAAAGGGGTGGCTGCAACAGACTCTGACAGTTCCTACAAGGTATGTGTACTGGTATTCTCAGTTACTCATGCTCCAGAATTTGTCTCCTGGGAGTTTACTAGTTCCAGGGAATTGGCTTATGTTTTTTAAAGGCTCCCATTTACAGACTGAGAGCAAGAGCCTGTCCACCTTGACACACACACTCACCAAAGCAGGAGCTGGCCTGTGGATTAGAAGTGGATATAAAACCTGCCACTTTATAGACCCTCAGGTCACCAAGGCTGTTTGGTTCTCCTAAGAAATGAAGTGTGAATTGCTTTCATTTGCTTCAGCAGGCCCTAGGATCACTTTAATCCACCCTGTTCCTAACACACATCAAAATAAGAGTCTAGCCAGATGGCTTGGGACTACCATGAGTGCAGGAATGTCACCTGGGGAGCAGCCTCTCCTCTCATCCCTTCTTGGTTGAAGAATCCCACATTTCACAGCTCTAAAAAGCTCCTTAAATTGTGGATAGGTGGTTTTTTCCCCCAACTAAAGGATATTTATCCTTCTTGTTCTGAATGAAGTGAACAATAGTTAGAAACCTTGCATTAAAATAATAGATTGCTTTCAGTTTATTTTAAGACCTGTTGTCACACCACTCTGGGAGGTGACTTCATGGGTCCTTAAAAGCTAAATAAGGCTGCATACCATAAACACCAGGGCTGGAGATCTGGTCCAGCTCCACCTGCTGACTCAGCCTGGAACAGGTCCAGGCCCCAGGGATATATGGGCTTTAAGGACTGGAGGTGGACCTCCTGGGAGAGAAAGAAAGCAGAATGAGGAGGCCTGTGCTCACTAACAAGCCTTTCCACTTTCCTTCTGGCATCATTTGTTGACATATGCCAACATTTGTTAATAGCACATGTTTGCAAAAGGTAGACTTTGAAAAGTCACCTTTAAGAGCGATCAGTTTACACAGGATTTAAACATAGGACTTATGCTTTCTTCTCTTTCTAACTAGTATGAAAATGGTAATGTCTGTTATCAGACTCTCTACAGTTTGAGTTTCTAACCACTAGGGGCTGATCTAACTCCACTAAAACCAACTATTTTCTCAACCATTTCTTTTGCAAATTATCAGGTTTCAGGATGACTGAATTACACTGTTCACAAACTGTAATGTCTAGAACCATTCCTCCCAACGTTGAAGGGCTTGATGTTAGAAGAGAGGAAAATGTCAGGTTTGGGTTCAGAGACAAGAAGGAAGAGTGGAACAAGAAATAACACAAATTACAGAGGACACGAAACCAGAAGGATGTTAAAAAGTCCTAGCGTAACAGCTGACCTTGCTGTATCAGAATCACTTGAGAAGCTCACCTGTCTAGCCCCCATCCCAGCCCCTAGTGAATCAGAATCCCTAGGGGTGGGACCTGAGTGTTGTATGTTCAAAAGAGCTCCGAGGTTGACTCTTACGTGTGGCCCATGTCAGAACAACTGTGCAAGGCTAACGCTCACTTTAGAAAGGAGGAGTCTGAGGCTCAGAGAGGGCAGGTATCTTGACCAGTCATGCTTCCAAGTTGTTACTGGGAAAGGTCCCAGGTTTCCTGACTCTCCATCTAGTGCTCTCCGGGAGGGAACAGCCCCCTCCAGGGCACCGGGACACATGTACATTACGCCACTTACGATTTGGTTTCTGGCAGTCTTCTTGAATGATCTGGTGGATCTTTCTGTGTAATTCTTTGTCTTCTCTGGTTACCTAAATAGGAAAAACAGTTCGGAAAAAAATGTTAAGTAAAACAGAGGTTGTGTCATCCAGACACCCAAATTAGTCTTTAGGATAGTTTCTAAAGATTTCATAACAATCCTCATCCCTACACCAATAGAGTGTCGCTTTTGATACGTGGCCAGCTGTCAAACCAGTTCTGTCCCTAAGTAGCTCACTGCTCTGAAGTCCACCCACAGGCATATTCCCTCGGGAGGTGGTTTACAGGGGCCATGATAGAAAGAAAAGCTGGAATCCCTTGCTTTCAAGGAGCAACTTTCGTCTTAAATATTCATAACACATTCATAAAATTTCTCTTATTCATTATATTCTTGAGGGAGGCACAAGTGATCAAACCCGAGGACTCTTTCCTCTTGTGTTTCTTCTTTTCTATCTTGGGTTTCACATTCCTTCACCCAACCATAGGGAAAAAAACAAAAGAAATAAAACTGTAAGGCAAAGCTAGCAAGAGAGTAAATCTAGTTTATGAATGGAAACACTGTCTGTTCTCAAAGGCAAACGTAACCAAGGTTCCTTTCTCAGCCAGCTCCAGTAAGAGGGAAGCAGCCATCAAATGGGTTTCACCTTCATGTTCAACAGTAAATCTAAAATCAAAGAGAAAGAAAGGGAAAAAGAGGAAGAAAGGGGAAAAAAGGAAGAAGGAGAAAAAAAAAAGTACGCAAACAAACACATACGTCAGGATGCTCCTTGGACTGACGGACTTGGAATGAGCAGATTTAAGAATGGGGATTCTGATAAGGACCCTTCTCTGGACTTACAGGGTGTTGGGAAGATTAAGTAAGGTAATGTGGGAGAGCTGCTGAAAGCTGGAAAGCACTATACAGAGAAAAGATAACTCTGTCCCTGAGGCAATGCCCTCAGGAAAACAGAAACCTAGGAGCCAGGGTTGAGGTAGAAGGGGGGAGTGAAGTCAGAGAAGGGGGGTGGCTCTGCTGAGGAAAATAGAGCTATTAGAGCTGGATCACCCCATTCCAGCTCAGACTGATTCACAGAAGGAAGTGCCCCAGCCCTGCCACACCTCATCCCTGGACTGCTGCCCATGGTCTGCTGTTCCTCAGGAAGAGCAGCTTCCTACTGACCCAGGAAGCCACGCAGAGCCTCCCGGGGGGGCGATGTGAGGGTGCAGGTGGGGGTGGGAGGGTGTTAGGATGAGTTGCCCAGCATGAGCTTCTCCAACCCCACAAGAAGCAATCAGCTCCCACCAGGCCTGCCCATCCTGGGAGGCGGTGGGGGGGTGGGGGGCTGCCCTCACCCTTATACAGAATGGAATACCCTTTTCAGAAGTTATTTAAATAGTATTTAAAACATATCTTAATTTTTTTAAATGTTCTAAAATGGGGAATCACTAGAGTTAATCAACATCAAGAAAATGTCCTATTAAGGAAAGCTCCCCCTTGGGAATCATGCCTGTAAAGAATGAGGCTTCTGGGATCTCCCAGAGTTCTGATCTGTCTTCAGGAGAATCGCTCACAGCTGAAGCTACATCTATGCTACTAAAGTGGACATCAATATCGATAACATCAGTATCAGCTTGGTTCCTCCCATATTAAAGGTAGGCAGTGAGAGGTGAACTTTTAACTCCAAGTATGAGGTAGGCAAGCACTTGTACCCCTGGTGGGAATGTTAATTGGCACCACTTTTGAAGGAGGCAATCAAAAGCTTAAAGGTACATGCCCTTTACTCCAGCAATTCCTCTTTTAAGAGTCAATCTTACGGAAATACTTACATAAGTCCACAAGAAAACAGACATAGTAACACTATATGTGAGGACAAGAGTTGGAAACAATATAAATGGCCATCAGAGATAAGTGGTTAAACAATTTATGGCAAGTTCCCACAATATGGAAAACCATGCAGATGTCAAAAAAAATGAGACAGATTTATAAGGACTAATATGGAAAGATGACTGTGATGTGCTATTCTGGCATCCCCCAAAGTTGCTGAGCATTATTTAGAGCAGTGGTTCTCAACTGGGTCAGGGGACACTTAGCAATGTCTGGAGACGTTTAGGTTGCCACAATTGGGGGTGCTGCTACCGGCATCTAGTAGGTGAAGGCCAAGGATGTGCCAAACATCCTACAATGCAAAGGACAACACCCCACAACAAAGAATCATCTGGCTCAAACAATGCTGAAGTTGAGAAATCCTGATTTAGAGGAAGATCACATCTTTTTGGTAACAGGAGCCTATATTTACGTGTGTGCCAAAGGCTGTACTGTTAAAAGCGGTATCTTGAGGAAAGATAAGGGCCAACTTTCACTCCTTACTTTATGTACCTCCTAATGACGGATTTTTAAAAAACAGGAAACAAACAATCCTAAGTAATAAATATATTTGCAATTGAAGCTAAGAAAAAAAAATTAAGTTGCAGGTCTCTTACATAGAACAGGTTATCAAAACCACCATCTTTCTGGAAAACAAGTCCTTCTTCCTGCAGCAGCTTTATAGCATTCCTAAATATACTATGAATTGCCTTGGAAGTGGTGTCATTCTTAAAATCCATCTGTAGGAAGAAAAAAAGGAAAAAAAAATAAAGGAAGAAAAGAAATAAGTCCCATCTTACAGCACTTGAGGGCAACTCCCTAGACCAACTGGTTATAAATTCACCCAACAGGCTTTTTAATCTACTGAGTCAAAAAGATTCAGGTATGCACGGGCCTAGCAGGATGGTATTTAAGGAGGATTGGGAAGTTTGCTCTGGCAGAATCACACTCGATAACTGTTCCACACCTTGGTTATGATTTTTTGTTTGTTTAATTCATTTAACTCAATGATACAAAATGGAAATATCAAAATGACAATCTTTGATTTATTTTTTTATACAGAGCCAAAAATTCTATACCTACTGGCTCACTTTTTTCATTAAAATTGTGGCCATATATACAACTTCTTCCTACGGACATCAAAGAATTTTACACACATTGAAATAATAAGTTGGGGATTCCAGCACATAGAGAGTATTAAATAGACTCCTTATTTTAAATGGAGGACAGTGGAGACAGACAGCTGTGCAGAGATCTGTCAAAGGTGAGGGTCCATGGGCTGAAGGTGGACAGGGCCCTAGGGGAAGCGAGAACACCATGAGGAAGGACCCTCTGCTGCTGTCAGTTTGCTCTCTCCTCAATTTCAGTATCCCTTCCCTTCTCTAAGAGTCAAGTTTGCCTAGAGAGGTTACCAGGTCATCCTACTTCTTATTTCAAGGAGGCCAGGTTTTCAGCTATGTCCTACCATGGTTAACTAAGCTGTGTGCTTCTTGAGTTGGGGACTCATCTCGGCCACCTGCTCCCTGACACACAGTGGGTGATGGAGAAAATATGTGTGCAATCAGGGGAAATACCCCATATAGGTAGGCGATATCCTCCTAATTATTCCATTAGGGATTTTCAGTTCATTCCTAAAACAAAGGAAGTGGTAAGTAATAAGTGTCCTTCAAGGTACAGATCCATTTGTAATGTGACAGAAATACATCAAGATACTAGAAAGATCAGAGTGCCAAAGAAACGTGGCAAAGCTTCCAAAAGAGTGTTTGAAGGCACAGTCCTACTCCTCTAATGGAAGGTCCTTATGGAGGCTGTCTGGGGCAGCACTCACAGTTGCTGAAACAGAGAGTGGGCCTGGGATTTGCTAATGACATTCCCACAAAGTGACAGGGAGAGGCCAAATGGCCTCAAGTATTGACAGCTCCATCCTGAAAGAAATCTTCGCTTTCTAGAAGAGGCCTCCCAGACAGGCACTGTTTGAATCTAACAGATCTTGGTGATGTTTCACAAATGTGCTCTCCTGAGCTGAACAGGAGAGACTAACGTTCTTAATTAATAGCCTAGGTTTTTCCTCAACAGAACAGGCCTGGAGAACCTGGCCAGTAGAACAAGAGGGCCTGAGAGTTGACAAGCACTCCAGGTTATGACAGCACCCATTCTCTGAAGGGAGAACAAGTTGAGAAATATTTGATGACTCCCACGGGCAGAAAAGCTATCTGGGTGTGTTTAGAATAAACACCTCTCCCAGCGATCCTCAGTCACATATCTTTTTATTCAGGGGGGCTTGAGGCAAAGCTGTTTTTAATTTCATACGTGAGTGCTCTCACTTAGGAAAAGAACGCTCAACCCAACACAGGCTCCCCTACATGACTTTATAACTACTTCATCTTCATAATTCTCAGGAGATTCGTCTTCTTTGGTCAATTTAATATAAGGATCCTAAGGTCGAGTTTATTATGTCTCTTCCCAATATAGAAATAAATTGGAAACTGACTAGAAATGTTGTTGCACGATTATTCCTGTCATTAAAAATGACTCTTGGTTATCCTCAGACCATACAGAAAGCCCGGTTCCTCCTCCCAGATTTCAGTCAGATCGAGCAGCAGGAAGAGAGGGTGTGAGGCCTGGGAGAGGAAAAGCAGTTTCAGCTGTGAACAAGGAGGACCCAGCAGAAAAGGCTCTCTGTAAATATAAACAATATGTGAAGCTTCCTTTCCAAAAACATTTGCCTCAGCTGAACTCAGGACATAATTCCCTGCTGGTTATAAAGACACAGTCTCAAGGATAAAGCCTCCAATCGTCCCTCTAGCTAGTAGCTTTTCCTGGCCTGAGATGTGTGTCTTTCTTGTCTTTTTCTAAAGAGCAATGACAGACTCATCCCATTCAGGAAACCGAAACTGTTCAGAAACAAAAACAGTGACCAGCTGAACGGGCTGAGCCTTAGCGGGCCTCTCCTTGTGGCAGGTCAGGAACTGGGTGGATCTCTGAAATATATATATAGTCTTCATTCCCAAACAAACTCAACATTTATCGAGTTGTCAAAGAAACAATGGTTTTGCAAGGTTTGTTTATCATGTTTCTGGATTTGCTAAAAAGGGCCACTGTGGAAAAAAAGAAAGGGGGAAAACATTCAAACCCACTCTCCCCAGCCTCTAAGCTAAGACAACATCACAATGATTTTTTTTGTTAAGCTTTCATCTGTATGACTACAGAAAGTGCCAAAGGATCTAAGGTTTCACCATCATTGTAAAGCATCCTGGGTCTCCCAGGCTCTATTAAACAGAATTCAATTTAATGACACTGACCCCCCCCAACCAGAGCCATGTGAGGGAATAATTCATAACTGATGGAAAGGTAGTTTCCAAAGACAAAACAGATATACTGCCATATTCATTTCTTTTTAAACATATAGCACTGGGCAGATACAAATTTCTTTTCTAAGCATTCTCAAAAAGATATCACACCAAAAGTCCTCCCTGGAATGTTCTGAATGGAGGGGCCTTTTAGTCCTCAATTCTCCCTACTTAATTATCGCAGAAGAGCTGGCTCACAGGAAGATGTGGTCTTTGCTAAGCTTCAACGTTTCCTTCTAAACATGCCAAGAGAGTGGTCAGAAGTCCTGGGAGGCCAAGTTGGCACTGAGCCTCCTCTAAATGATTAAATGGGAAGAAGGTCACTCCTGCTGTCAGTGGACAGCTGGGGAGCTACAACTGTGCAGAAGCAATGGTGGCACAGAACAAAGCGGCCAGTCCTGACCCTCCCCACCTCGGTGTTCCCTGAAACAATATCCCTCATCTCCATGTATGAAATTGCGGGTCACTGGGCACACAGCCTGGTGACAGGAAGAGATAATCAAGTGCACGAATGAAACTGAGAAGCAGTGGTCATGTTTAGGAGGTCGGGACAGAGACCTGGTATCTGTTCCACCAGAATCACAAAGAATAATTATGTTACCTCACAAGGGTACTCATGGCAGCCCTGGTGGTAATGGCAAAAGACTAGAAAACATCTAAACAGTCCAGGAATGGAGAGACCCCTTAAGGAAATTATGATACACATAATAAAAGATTATTATAGAGTGGCAAATATGTAAGTATGGCTAGTAAAGGACCTATAAGACATGCTGTCCAATGAAAACCTAGGTAGATATAGTGTTTAGTATGATACCATTTGTGTAAAAAAGGGGATACAACTACTTCTAGTTTATATATGCAGATTATCTCCAGAAGGATACTCATGAGATGGTTCTCGTCTCTGTAGAAAGGGGATGAGGAAGGAGGATGGGAAGGAAACTTAAAAACTAGACAGTTTCCTGGACTATTCGAATTTTTATTTTTTTTATCTATTTTTGTTTTCTCGTTTTGTTTTTTGGCTGTGCCGCACAGCTTGCAGGATCTTAGTTGCCCGAAAGCAGTGAAAGCACCGAGTCCTAACCACTGGACCACCAGGGAACTCCCAGACTATTTGAATTTTTAAAAGTTTTCATTGCTTCAATCAACAAATAATTGTGGAGAGCATACTTTATGCCAACCATGTTCTAGGCCCTGTTCTAGAGAGCAAAGAATGAGACAGACAAAGGCTCTGCTCTTAGAGAACTTAAATTCTGGTGGGGTAATAGGCACACAAAACAAATAAATACCAGTGCTATCACGAAATGTGGAAACAGAGTGATAACACAGTGAGGAAGCTGGTGGCTATCAGAGCAGAAGGTCAGGGAGGGCAAGAAGGTGACATTCAAGCAGAGATCATTCCCAGTGGAATAAATGAAATAAATACAAGTCGTGTTACAGCAACAAAAAAACTAAGGAATTGCAATGAAAAGGAAAGCCTAAAACCAAAGTCTCAGATAATTCTTAATTCCAAGCAAATAAGTAAACACCAGACAACTTGAGTTCACCTCTAACACTATGGGTGTTAAAAAATGAGGACAGGGCTTCCCTGGTGGCGCAGTGGTTGAGAGTCCGCCTGCCGATGCAGGGGACACGGGTTCGTGCTCCGGTCCGGGAAGATCCCACATGCTGCGGAGCGGCTGGGCCCGTGAGCCATGGCCACTGGGCCAAAAAAAAAGAGGACAGCTCTTTCTAGGATGAATAAAAAATTACTTGAGTATTCCCTGCAATTTTTACTTATAAACCAGACTGAATACAACTTGATCTTTATTCAAACTCCTAAGACACGATAGATCAACCTTATTCTGGAGAAGACAGAACAAGTCATTAAAAACCTTGGTTCGAGTTCAAGAATCATCTTGCTGATCAAAAAATAATCTTGGAAGGATAATTTTAGCTCTTCTCATCTATTTCCCCCTCAGTTGGTTCCTGCTGACATTAAATACCCATCTCAGTGAGTACTAAGTGCTATGAACCTTATTTTTTTTTCTACCTGAAGATTAAGCTTTATGAGATTAAGGAGGGGAAAAGGGCATGCATGTGCATTCTCCTTTCAAATTCTCAGTGGTCAGTGACTTTTCCAGAATAGAATCAACATAACCTCTATACTCCAGGTACATCCTGTGAGTCTCAATGCCACAGTCATGTCCACCCACACCCTCCACCTGCAGATGTGGGGCAGGGGCCTCGAATTCTCACATGGTCATGCCGCACTTACTCGCCCGGAGCAGTCGCTGTGAATCACAGGCTGGTTGGCAAGGGACAGCAGGGACTCCACCGTTTCCAACTCCTGCTGGTAAAAGGTCTGCACTCTGTTCTCCACAAGGAATTCTTTGACTTTTTCACTCAGCAGATACGTGAGACTGTCAAGGTCCAGGGTGCCTGGATTGCTGCTGGGACAAAGTTTTAACAAGCCCTGCAGAAAACTGTTACTTTTGTTCCTTTTGGACGCATATAAAACTGAAACAGCTAGCAAGTGCAATACTATACTGATGCATGTTTTTGACATAAGGAGCAGTTCACCCAGTGAACACTGTGTGGTTGTTTAAAAGGATGAGGCAGAACTACAGGAACTGATATTCGTGATAGATTTAGAAAAAAGTCAAGCTGCAGAATAGTATGTGAGGGACGGTGCCATTTTTGTAAGGAAGCAAATGACAGCTCACAAAATACGTGGGTGGATATTCATGCTGTGTGTGCAACCGAAGAAAAACGTCTAACAGGATACACACATCAACCTCTGCACAGTGGAAACCTCTGGGAATGGCACTGAGGCGGGAGACAGGAAAGTGGAGAACTTCCACGTTTTACTTTATACAGGTCTACAGTTTGGGGTTTTTTTAATATAATTTTTTGGAATATGTAATCTACAAATATTGAATATGTTTAAAAAATGGAAGGGTACATGGTGAAGAGTCTCCTTTCTATCCTCCTTCCAGTCCTCCTCCCACCACGCCCCCCCCCCCGCCGGCAGCCACTATGATTATTTCTGTCTCCTCTGAGTTATTTGAGGCGTATAGTAACAAATATACATATATTCTTACTCCTCCTGTTTATTTTTCCATCCCTGAAAGAGAATAAAATCATCCCTGGTTGAGAGCGACTGGTATTGTTTCTTTGATCATGATGTGCCTTTTGGTGCAGTTTTCTTCACGTTTCTTGCCTTGGGGTTCACTGAGCTTCTTGGATCTGTGAGTTTACAGTTCTCATCAAACTTGGAAAATTTTCATCCATGATTTCTTCCAATATTTTCTCTCTGCTCCCCACTCCACTCCTTCGGAGACTCCAATTACACATATATCTTCCTTACCAAACCTTAGAGCACCTGCACTATTAACACCTTCACTTTACAGGTGAGGACACTGAGGCATCCAGAGCGGGGACACACTTACCTGGAGCCCCACAGTGAGTGAGTGGACAGTTCAGGATTTGGACCCAGGCCCACCCCAGAATCTGGGATCCCACTGGTTGGCCTCATTGCTGTGGTCACAACCTGGGCAGTCATAGTCCAGAACTTACCTCAGTGCCTCTTCTTTCTCTAGGGCTGGGCTGCGGAAGGGCTGGTCATAAACTTTCCTGTAGATGGTGGGCAGCTCAAGCATCCTTGCGATTTGAATGTTGCACACTGGATCATCCACTTTATCTAACAAGCCACAGGGGAAAGCAGGCCACAGAAATTACACTGAGATTAGTTCTTTCCCATGTCCAGACTGCTGCCAGGACAACAGTAAACGGAGCACTTGGTGGGTCTCCTTCCTCAAGGATGCCCAGGATCACAGTCTAAACGCACTGAATGGTTCCCAGTCATCCTGCGAGAGGGGATGCGATACCCTAAGTGACACAGGCATGGCCAGAGACCAGGGCTAGGGAAAGCGCATGAGTGTATTCACTGATCTGGCACAATGGTGGACAACTGGGCTGTCCTTGAGATTTCCAAGGACAAACCAGCCAGAGCGGTGCAAAGGGCACCACTCAGATGACAGAGAACTGTCACACTTTTGATTAGTTGTTTTCTTTCAAAGTTAATGGACTCAATGGTGTTCAAGAAATTTCCATCATTTTGAAGACTATGAACACTCTTCCCTAAATGGATTCACACTCAGAGACTCTACTATGGTGTCCAAATGTTGAATAAAATTTGTCAGCCATATACAATGAATCACTTGTTTTCTTTCCCAATTTATTTATAGTGACCTCTTCAAAATAAAATTAAGAAATGCTACTTTTCTAAAGAAAGCATGTTGTTCCTTCATTAGAGTTAAATCTTTTTATTTGAACTTTTTAGAAGTTTGACTTTTCGCTGAATGAGTTTACTGGACACACGCACAGAATAACAACCAATTTGGCAGAGATATCTTGTGCTTACAATAAGCAGTGGCGTAAATTTCTCGCTCTCCTCTGTACATGCGGACGTGACCTCTGATCCGGATAATGTCCCCAATTTCTACCTTTGTCCTCTGCGCAATGGTCTCTTGCAGCTTCTTAAGCTGTGAGGTTAAGCTCAGCTCTCTTGCACTTGGAGCAGCTGTAGTTGTTGGGGCCAGAAGGAAGGAGAGAAATGCGTAACAAAATCACTTCACCACATTTGGGAGAGAGTCTGTGGTAAGACCGACAGGAGACATTTATTTGTTCTACTTCTGATTGGTTGCTCTACTGTAGGAAATCTGCATAATCTTTCGAAATCCTCTACTGGATAAAAGGCATAAGGCTTGACAACCCAGTGGGTGAGTTCCATTGTCTTCTTTCCTACCACTGCATCGCCTGTGCAAAGGGCTCTACACCTGCCTGAGCTGAATTCTGTGTGAGTTCAGCCGGGTTTGGTGGCAATAGCTCTAAACAACCCTTTAAAGTGTCCTTGCTGGGAGATAGAGGCCTGGCCTGAGGGGAAAGGTGCCCAAGAGTCCCCATTTGTGGTTGTTTATGGGGAAGGCAAATTGGCCAGAGTTTGATTTTCCACCAAGGTGCTCAACACCCTTATCTCTCTCACTTTTCTTTGTTGAGTAACTAGGCTAACCTTCTCTTTCTCTCTCTCTCTGTTCTAAGGACTTTATAACCTATCAGTGCATCTAATCCTCACAACCACTCTTATTATTAGCCCCATTTTTCAGATGAGGAAACTGAGTCACACAGAGGTCAAGCAACTTGCCCACAGTAAAATAACTAGTTAGCAACAAAGCTGGAGTTCAAACCCTGGCGGTCTCTGACTCCAGAGCCTTCCTGCTTATTCTTTATTCTCTGCTGCCTGACCCGTGAGTATAATTACATTTTCCATGGTTATAGCTCATGTGTGTAAACAATTTTTTGTTGTTTTTCTGTCTAGCATCACTTCAAATACACATATGTATCCACAGAATCTATACAACTCAGCATTTTAAATAACAAAATAGCATTCTGCCATGTTCATATGCCACAGTTTGTTCAGCTAATCTCGTTAAATATTTCTTCCTTCTTTCATAATTTTTTATTTTGGTTTTTATCACTACCACTGTATGGGGCTGAGAGGTCAGCTTGGGTAAAGGGAGTCAGACAGACCTGGCTTGAATGTCAGGTCACTTCTTATTAGCTGTGTGACCTTGGGCAGACTGCTTAATCTTGCTGTACCTGTTTCCTCAGTTATGATGTGGATTTAACAGTGCCCTTCACATATGGAGCTGTTGTGTATGATCTTAGTTAACCCTTACATCATGAGCTTAGCGCAATGTCAGATCTATAGGAAACATTCAATAAATGTCAGCTACTTGTGAAAATGAAAAATTAAGCCCTCAAGACAAAAATTTTGTTTTCTTTGGGGTCTTTCATTGGGGATTACTGGATAGAAAAGTACAAACAGGTTTAGAGTTCCTTACATATTATCAGAATGTTTGCCAAAAAACCCCCAATCAAACCATTCTCTTTTTATAAGGTGTCACCAGCAATGTGTGTGGGCTTACAGCTCCTATACTGGCTTCAGTCATTTGGATTTTTAACACCTTAAAAAATACATAATGATTCTATAATGTTTTATTTTTGCTTTTAAATTGCCAGAGAGACCATGTGTTTTTATATAAGATGATCTGCTCTCTGCATTTCTTTATGTATAAGCCCTTCATATCTTTTGAACACTTTATGTTCATTTCTGAAAAAAATGCAGGGAAGCTTTATCAGTTATGCTTATTACATCCACTCTCCTTATTCCACTGCTTTCTTTTTTATGTTTATTTGATTTCATTTTAATACATAAAAGTTTGAAAAAAATGTTTTAGTTTATCCCTCTTGTCACTGATGATAGCTTTCATTGCTTTAACAGCTTAACATATAAGAGCTTAACATAGATACCCCCATATTTATTGTGATAAATACACAACTCTATCTTCTTTGGGTTATTTTATGTAAGCTGTAAGACAGTGATCACAGTTACCTCTTTTTTAATATTGTTATCTACTTGAACCAACAACATTTGTTAAATGCTTACTTATTTCCTGCTGTTGTATTATTTCTGCTTTGTCATATACTAGGGTTCCTATAATGGAATGAATAATGGTCTATTGATCAAATTTTGTGCTTCTTAATCTAATACAACTTAGATAACCATGGCTCTGTAATGTGCAAAGGCATTATTACTTTTGACACACTGACTATAGTAAGGGAAACAGCAACCTAAGGAGCTCGGAGAACTTTGCATAGACCAGTAACCAAGAGCTTGGAATCTAGACACACTCAGCATTAATGTTACTCAACTTACTGGGTTTCTTCAGAAAATACCCAAGTATTACTTTTTAAAAGGTTATTCTGTCTGGGTTCCTATCCCTAAGTCCTCTTCCATTTAGGCTGAACTTTAAAAGTATTTATAAATTTCACTGCCATGATTCAGACATTATAGGTGATAATAAATGCTTCATATAGCACTGCTGAAATGATCAGACTGAGGGCTGGTCTGAGAAAAAGAGGCTCAGCTTTCATTTAAAGGGTGAACCAAACTGCCAAAAGAAGGGCTCAAGCTGTGTAATTTAATGAGGAGAATGAGACAGTTGGAGCCTGACAGAATTTCATTTTAAGTAGCCTATTCCATGCTGAAAGATAAATCCTCTTTAAAATTCTAATATTAAGCTCCAAGCTTTCTTAACTTTTCTCATAAGCTAAGTCCAAATGGTACAATCAGCGTGACATTTATAGGAGTTAATGTTATATTTTTATACTGTAACTGACTAGAACATGATTTTGACTCAGACTAAATTTCGTTTAAAAAAATTAGTCTTCAATGGACACTTTCCAGTGGAAAGCTTTAAAACCGAGGGCGATTAAATTAAAAGGAGAGAATGGACTAGTTGGGAACAATTTTAAAATATCACTTCATATATAACATGATGAGAATCACTTTCAGGCTTTCTCCTTGTACCCTTACCCTCACTTTTTATTCCCAAAGCAATTTCTGATTAAGGCTACCAACTGTGACTGTTCATCTATCCATCTACTTACAGATATTTAAAAAATCTCACTTTCAGTATTAAAAGACATTTTACCTAAAAAATTACTGAATCATATAATATTTCTGCTGCCATTTATTTTAAAAAAGAGAGTTGATTTTGAAAATTAAAACAATGTCAAAAACAACAGTCGATAAACTACAGCCCATGGACCAAATCTACCCACAATCTGTTTTTGTAAATAAAGTTTTATTAGAACACAACCATGTTTGTTTGTTTATGTACTGTCTATAGTTGCTTTGGTGTTAACAATGGCAGTGTTGAACAGTTGAGTTGCAGACCATATGGCCCACAAACCAGAAGACAATTATTGTCTGGCCCTGTACAGAAAAAGTCCGCTGACCCTTGGTTTAAAACAAGTATGCATATTGAAACTACACCTTCTGATTGAAGATCGTGACAATACCACAACCATAAATCTGCAAATAATTTTAATACCCTGGACATATATGAAAGTTCAAATATCTGATTGTCTTATAGGTTTATTTCTTACCTCTGAGATATCTGCGCAAAAACCTGTTGTCTGCCTTAAGTTTTTTCTAACCTGCAAAGCTTCCTAAGCTAAGTAGTACCACTGATATAGATGTTCCCAAATTAGGAAATAGGAATACCAAAGTTATATGAACGTGATGGCCAAATTCTAAATATAAATACATCAGAAAATTAAGCAAAGGAGCATCTCACTGGTCAGTACAGTCAAAGTAGGAAGTTGAGATTCTGACAGGTAATGTCAAAAAAAAAAAAAAAGAAGAAACTACTCCAAGTGTTACACATTCTTACCACACGTATAACAAGAGGACATAGATAGTAGATGTTAGATATCAGAGCAGGTAATATTTACTGAATAACCCCAGTGTATATGGCATCATAATGCATATGCTATAAAACAGAGAAAAACAAGGCCCCAGTTTCCATAGCTTCTCTAGAACCAAAAATGATCACCACTATTGCACAATATATATATTTTTAATATTATGAACTTATGCAACTCAAAAAACTACCTAAGGACTATTAAAACAGACTCAAGAAATTCCAAATGCTGTTTCAGTTATAGTCAATGAGTTCAATATACTATTTTAAACTTCTTTTTTAGTTTATATTATTTAATGGCTAACTTCAAGGGAATCCTACCTTACCTTCTCATCAGTCTTAGAACTCCTGGCATATTTGTTTGAACAAGCTAGAGATTTCAGAAAATTTAGATCATGGGAGCATAGATGTTAGTGGCAACCACGTCAGGGCAAAAGCTTTCAAAAAAGCTTTGGTCAAGTGATATGCCCAGAGCAAGGGGATTCTCGCCTGATCAGCAATTAGGCTAAACTATCTTGACTTGTGGAATAATGGCATGGTAAAAATGAAACACTGAAACTTCTAGTAACTATTCACATTCCTGTAGGCTTAGGAGGAAGTGAGCACCAAAGAAATGAGAGCAAGAAAAGCAACTGGCTCCCCACTAATATCAGTTTGCAGAGCAGCCAAAGTTCTGGGTGTAGTGCTTCAAGTTGATCAATGTAATTCACCAGTGAATAAATGTGAAAATTAGTACTCCAGCTACTCTGCTGAGCTACCCTGAGTAAAATCTACTGGTTAGCTGTAAAGGTAAAGAAGGGTGGCAAATAAAATTACCTGATGAGGATCTGGTATTATTCAGTTTCTTCCAGCAGATGCAGTTTATAACTCCAGTGCTATCATCCACTGCAAGAGAAGCGTAAAAAAGTGTAGAACAGAGATATGGGCATTACAGGTGAATTAGCACATTGCCATTGCATTCAGCCAAACTGTAAGATGACATTTTCAATAGCCTGCTTGGGCAAATCCCTGAGCCAACTTTTCTTCCACCCTTAGAAATAATCTCTCACCACAATCCAGTGGGAATTGCTTGTCTGCAATGTCAGTGTACTACATGAGCCCAGCAGAATGTAGTCAGCATTTCTCTTACCCTATCTCAAGGGTATTAACCTCTCCTAAAAACGGTGTCCTCAGGAAGTTAAGTGCAAAGATCTCAATATCTGTTAACATGTAAAATCAGCCCTGCGCTCCAACCTGCAACCAGAGACCACTGCCTAATCTGTGGTTAGAGGCACTCAGAGCACAGCCATCTGTCACCATGTGCTCTCTCGCTAGCTTGCTGACTTACCAAGACAAAGCATCCCAAGTCTTCTGGCCTAGGCTTCTCTTTGAAAGAGCTTCTACCCTGTCCTTACCACTGCAGGGGATGTAAGGAAAGCTAAGCATATCACAGAAGGGCAAAGTTTTATTTTCATAATAAAAAATAATTATACCTTGGTCACACAAGCAGTATTGGTCTGGCTTATTTTAGCCACAGTGCCAAAAAAAAAAAAAAAAAAAGAATTTCCATTGTACTTGGATTTATAACTGCAGAAAAATTTGCAGATGTTTCAAGGATGATAGGATCAAGGATGAGAGGTGTTTCTCTTGGCCTAATTTCTGACAATCTCAGAACAGAGGTTGATCAACATGGGTTCAGTGGGCTTAATGATTTTTAAAAAATCATCAGCTAGACTGTTGTAAAAACACATGTAATAAAGAAGAAACATATGGCAAAATTTCTTTATTGCTTGTTTAAATCTGTGTTTAAAGCAGAAGCTGAGAAGAATACTTCTTATACTAAAATAAATTCTAGATGGATTTTATTTTATTAAATACAATATAGGTAAACTTAAGAAGATGAGAAAAAAATATGGGTGAATACTTTCAATCCTGGGCTTACGTTGGTGGAGGGAGATTTCTTTAAACAGACCTGAAAATCACAACTCATTCTAGAAGTCTGATATATTTGACCAACTAAAAACTAACACTGTATAGCAATTTTCCAAATAATGGAGTTAATATCTTAATATATAAAGAACTCATACAAATTAATAAGGAAAAGACCAAAACTATAAGGGAAAAAGTGGCAAAGAAAAAGAATACGCCATTCATGGAAGGTACAAAAATGACCAGCAGACATATGTCAGTATGCTAAATCACTAGTTACCAGAAAAAAGAAGCAAATTTAAATAACTTCTCAACTACTAGAATGACAAATATTAAAAACACTGATACCCTCATATGCTGTTAGCAGGAGTACAAATTCATACAAATTTCTAAAGACTAAGTTTGGAAATGTGTATCAAATTTTGAAATGTTTATATCCTTTGACTTAGTATTTACTTCCAGTAATTTATCCTAAAGAGAAAAATGGAACAAATGCACAGATATATATATTTTGTATAAGGCTGTTCGTTATAATATTGTTTATAGTACTGGAAGTTGGAAATAACCTAAATGTTTATAAATATATAAGTGGTTAAATAAATTACAATGGCATGGCATATGAGAATACAAAGTTATAATGAAGATCCATGGTCATTGCTATTAATCTCATTGCAAAACAGAAATTATATATATATGGTCATATATATCATATATAAACTAATTTATGTAAAACATTAAATAGTGTGTTTTGACAGAAATGATCTTAAGACATTAAAATGCTAATAGCAGTTTCTTCTGGAGTATGTAGAAGGAACCCCATATTCAATGTATACATTGACTGTAAGCCTAATTCCAGAAACATTAAAAACAGAAAGAAATAAGGCATATCTATATTTCTTCATATTAGGAACATGTTAGAAAAACTAGGAAGGATGTTCACCTAAACACTGATATTGTTTTTATCTGATTTACAGCATTTCACATGAGCTTTATGTACTTCATTAAAATTTTCTCTAGCTTTAAATTTTATTTTATAGTGAGTATCATTTTAAGAAGCAAAAAAAAAAAATCAATAAGGACATTTTGAGTTAAAAAATAATGTATGACACTTCTAGGCACACTACTTCTCTGGCCAGTTTAAAATTTTGCCTTATAATTCTAAGTCAAAAAATATTGGCACATGAGTATTTGTTCTAGAAAATGTGAGGTCATTCTGGTCTTGACTGTAGTCTCCCAGGATTCTAGGTCTGAGCTTGAGTTGCTGCCAGGTGCTCTGTGTGCTCAGGGCACTTCCACCAAACTCTCTGACTTCCTGGTTGGTAACCTCTCCCAGCAGACACCGCCCTGGCATCCTGAGGCCTGGCTACTGGAAGGCCCTGGAAGGGGAGTGTTCTTGCCATGCTGGGCAGTGTCCTCCCTAGCTGGGCAGCATGGCCTGGGCGGCCGGCCTTTTGTTTCAGCCATGGGACGAATCAGGGTGAGCAGGAAGCAACCCCAGCATATAGGCCTGCAGTGAGTCAGGAGGAAGAGGACCTGGGACAGCAGGAGTAGCCACCTGGCAGGTGGCCCGAGAGCCAAGCTGGGCCTGAGAACAGCAGGGTATGTGCAGCTCTCTCTTGAACAGGCCTCGCAGGAATTAAAGTCCCAAGTGTTTATACTCTCAATTACTTCAGCCTTCAGACGCTTTTCATTTCCTCACAAACCACAGATGTGCCATGCTCTCACGACATCCAGTCTAAGAGAAATGTTTATTGGGGAAGAGTCAGCCATATTGCCTTCATCTCTTTATGATGGGAAAAGGGGTTAAATGAAACCCCTTTAGGTCAGAGGCATTATATCTGGCCTGGTTCTACAGCCAGGACTGATGTCCTCAAATAGCCTCATTCTGATCTAAAAATCAGAAAATTAAAAACCAGATGCAGCTGATTTTTGGGGGGGTGGGAGGAGGGGCATGGGACAGAGAAAAATCTTTCTTTTTTAAAAAAACCTTTTTAATAGACTTTATTTTTAGAGCAGTTTTAGGTTCACAGCAAAAGTGGGCAGAAGATACCGAGGTTTCCCATTATCCCCTGCCCCCTCACACGTATAGCTTCCGCATTACCAACGTCCCCACCAGAGTGGTACATTGGTTTCAATTGATGAATCTACATCGACACATCATTATCAGTCAAAGTCCATAGTTTACATTAGGGTTCACGCTTGGTGGTGTATATCCTGTGGGTTTGGTCAAACGTATAATGACACACATCCACCATTACAGAATCATACAGAATAGTTTCATTGCCCTAAAATTCCTCTGTGCTCCACCTATTCATCCCTCCCTGCCCCCCAGCCCCTGATTAACACTGATAGAAAAATCTCTTTTTCTTTTAGAATTTGAGTTCTATGGAGACTACACAGCACACTGGAGTCAGTAAAGAGATTGGACCCATCAGTGGAACCTTGAGCAAGTAACTGAGCCTTAGTTTTCTCATCTATAAAATGGAAATAATATCTGTCTTTTCCATTTCAAAAGACTGGGAGGAGAATAACATGAAATTACGCATGCATAAGTGCTCCGTAAACTGACAGATACTATCATTTCATCACTGGTACTTGGAGAGGAAGTACAGATAACGTACTTGCCAGCAGCTGGGTATGCTGTAGGAACTTAGTGAATGTTTGTTGAACTGCCTGGAGAAACAGAGAACCAGTATCTATGGTAAAATAAAGCAGAGAAGAGATCCAGTATGGGGATGCATGACAAGATGATCTATTTCAGAGTTCTAAAAAAATACAAGCTGGGAAAAAGCAGAGGGCATGAGAAATCTCATCTCTCACGTGTTATTTTATAAGCACAAGACAATCATCCCCAGGAAAATGAATATATGTTGAAGAAATTGTATCTGTAAATTATCAGTCATGCACAGACTGCCAATGAAATGTTCTTGGTCACCTAGTTCAACTGCCTTCTCTTTTTCCCCAAGTAGAAAAAGAATACAAATCCAAGTGAATACAACAAAAAGTGACAATGTCAATTATAGCAAAGGTTGGAATTCAAAGTTAAGCTTCCCACAAAATATCCAGCTTGGCCTCTTAACTACAGAGAATCTTAGGCAATATATTAAAATGATTACATTAAACACAATGCAAAAAAAAAGTCAAGACCCATGACACTAAAATCATATCCTAATAGTTCACTGGTGTCCAAACTACAGAAACCCTTTATTTAGTTTCTATCACCATAAGGGAAGGGAAATTTTCTGATAATGGATATTTACCCCTTTGGGTACCAAAAAGCTTTTTTTTTTTAACTGTTCTGGATATAAATCTTATAAATTATTTTTCATATCTCCCTGTCTTCTTAAAGAGTCTACTTTAATGTTAATCTGGCCTTTTTATTTTAAAGGTATCAATATAAACATATATCACCATCCTTTGCTATTTATAGCTATGCCCTAGGTATCAGGTATCTGTCCCTGATCAACCAGTGACCCTAGACTGTAGTTTAATTCTTCTGCCTCCTAGCTCCCCAGCAACTGTCACCTGACAATAGTCATCAGTATCATTCCCACCCATTGCCTCATTTTACACTTAGTCCATGTTGGTGGCTGCAAATGGTTCCCAATAGAGGACAAGTGCATGGGGGTTATGAGAGGCCCCAGCTGCTCTGAAAGGCTGGGGTTGCTTCAAATTCAATGTCCAGCTAAGTGGGGTCCTTCCACATAAACTCAATGTCAGACACAATTGTTCTTACCTCCACAGATGTAGAAAGCATCTCTTTCTCTCACTCCAATTACAGTTCCCAAGATATCTACCTGTTTTATTGGATGCCCACTGTAAAAAAATACACCTGAAATTAAAGGGAAAAAAAGGCAAAGTCCATATAACGTATGATGACGTTTTCTGCTTCAGTAAATGTTACCTGTGTCAAAAATCAGTGGCATGCTGCTTGCTAAAATTTCAGACTTAAGAATCAGCTCCTGACAAATGCCAAACCCCAAGAAATTCAGATGTCTTTTCCTCAAGGGTTATAAGTAGAAAGTGTGGCTTTAAAGAATCTTGTACTAGCACAGAAAAGAGAAAACCAATATTGTCCAACTAGATGTGGTTAACTTCTTTCCACTTGTGAGAATGAAATGCACCTGCCTGTAGAACTCTCATAAGGGCCTAAAAACAGCCGCAGTATTATGAGACACAACACAGTACTATACTTTGAGGGACTGGAAAAGGAAAGAGAGAGGAAACCACGAGAAAAGGCTTCTCTGGCTTTTCTAGGAAACCAGTCATCATTTCTACGAATTAGCAGCAGCACTTTTTTTTTTTTTTTTAAGAAAAAGAGAAGATGATGAGGTTACAAAACACTACCCTCTGGGGCCAGTAGATTACGACTCAAAAACTTCTCTTTTTAAAATTCTATTTTCAAAGCCTAGGCAACAGACGCCAGCAGGCAGGTTCCCGCCAGAGGAGAAGCGTGAGAGGAAGAACCCTACCCACCGACTCCCGGAGGGCTTTCTTGGACTCTGTGACGGAGATGGAACAGAGGGACTCCTGGCAGCAGTGAGCCCTCAATTCCCATCCGAGACTCCAGCGCTGTCCCGGCTCCCGTGGGGCCCCCAACATCCTTACCTGAACTGCCTGTTTGGGCTTAAGCTACTTGCGTTGTGTTCCTGTCACCTGCAGCTAAAGAGTCTGGACTAAAATCCTCTCCAGCCATTTTTTTTCTCCCTACGATGACCGAATTCTTTACTTTCAGAAAGAGGCTATAAACTTGTAAATGGCGACTTCCTTTTCAAATAAATACATGAATTGCAAACAAAGAATCAGTCATGGGCTTCCCTGGTAGCCCAGTGGTTGGGAGTCCGCCTGCCGATGCAGGGGACACGGGTTCGTGCCCTGGTCCGGGAAGATCCCACGTGCCGCGGAGCGGCTGGGCCCGTGAGCCATGGCCGCTGAGCCTGCGCGTCCGGAGCCTGTGCTCCGCAACGGGAGAGGCCACAACAGTGAGAGGCCCGCGTACCGCAAAAAAAAAAAAAGAAAAGAATCAGTCATCACTTCAGGTATTTGGCCACCCTCACCCTCTCTGGTTCTCGCCAAGTCTGGTCAGAGTCTGTCTTCTCCACATCCATGGGGGGAGGGGACCCCACAGCCTGAACCCTGAAGCCCTTCAGAACCCCCAGAATGGCCTCCACTGATGGTTCTCTTGTTTCCCATGCGGATAAAGGGGCTGGGGACCAATCGCCCGTGGCCAAGTCCCCAGGGGATGGACAAGGAGCTTCTGAGCCTCAGTTAGCCAGAGATTCCAGGGGAGCGAGATGTGGTTTGAAGATGTCAAATTCACCCAGGCCCTCCCCCTAGCAGAGGCATACTTTTAAAGATGACTTAGTGGACTGGAGACCGTGCAGAGGGCAACCTTGGGGGCCAAGAGCTGAAATGGCAGAGCCACATGAGGGAAGGAGCCTGGGTCCCTGTGTCAGCCCCGGAGCAGAATCCCTTCCCTCCAGGAACACTTGGACTGAATAGGGTCAAACTGCTTCCACAGAAGATCCGTGAAATCTTAAGAGCAGGACAGTTCTGACTGACTTCTCCTGAGTTCTTACCATTGAAACCCAGTGATGACCTGTGGGGAGGCCCTCAGTCCTCCAGCCCTACCTGCTTGCACTGATCAGACACAAAGGAGAGAGGGCACCTTCAGGGGAGGGTGACCCCCATAGGACCTTTGCTGGCAGACTCGTGCTTACTGCAGCAGAAGGGAAGTTTAAATGGGGAGAATGAGCCTACCCCAGGGTCAGGGGCATGGCATCCTCTGCTGAAGTGTGCCCCACCATCATGCCCTGACACGCTTGTGTGCAGAGACGGGCTATGGTATGGCCCTGCTTTGGTCCAGCTTTGCTGTAGGGCTGGGGCGGGGGGATGAGGGTGGCCTGAGCTCCAGACTGGTCTCTGGCTGCAGTCAGCCCTTTCTGCTTCCCCAAATGCGCTGGACTTTCTATCTGTGCGCTGAGCAGAGCCAAGTTAGAGAGAGCTCTTTCCTAGAACCTGACTGGCCTCTGTCTCCCCCAGCCTAACTGATGGTCTGTCCTGGTTGCCGGGCATTAGAGACAGTGTGCTCCTGGTGCCATCAGAGACCATACACCCCCCAGGGCTCTGCGTGGCTGGTGTGGCTCCCAGGACACCGGCAGTGGGAGGCCCTGTGGACCCATGGAGGGCCTGCTGCCTGCCCCTGAAGAGTCTTTCCAGCTGGTCCAGAAGCCACTGTGGGGTGCTCTACTGGTGATGTTGAAAGCTTGAGACAAGCCCCAGGATTCTTTGGGTCTTCCTGGGACACCCTGGTATGTGCCGTTATGGTGGTTTTTATAATGAAGAGCCGACACACTTTAAGAAGGGGAAAAGAGCCAGCCAAAAGGTGTTCTGCCTGGGCTGAAGTATACAGAAAAGGCAAGTATACAGAGAAGAATGGACTGACGACACAAGCCAACAAAGTCGTCAAGTCACCTGTGGTAGACGCCAGTCCTCCAACATTACCAACTCTGCACTGGGCAACACTTGAAAAAACCTGAACAGGTCTCCACTGGAGGACACAGTAGACTTTCTTGAAAAAAGACAGAAAAGGGAGCCCCCTAAACTTTTTTTTTTTTTAATTAACTTTTAAATTTATTTTTGGCTGCATTGGGTCTTCACTGCTGCGTGCGGGCTTTCTCTAGCTGCGGCAAGCGGGAGCCACTCCTTGTTGCGGTGTGCAGGCTTCTCATTGCGGTGGCTTCCCTTGCTGTGGAGCATGGGCTCTAGGCACACAGGCTTCAGTAGTTGTGGCACATGGGCTCAGTAGTTGTGGCTCACGGGCTCCAGAGCAGGCTCAGTAGTTGTGGCGCATGGGCTTAGCTGCTCCGCAGCATGTGGGATCCTCCCGGACCAGGGCTCGAACCTGTGTCCCTTGCATTGGCAGGCAGATTCTTAACCACTGCGCCACCAAGGAAGCCCCTAAACTTTCATCTCATAGACTGACAATGCTCGTCTTCAAGGAGACAGTCGCTCAAAGATGCAAAAAAACAAGGAAAAACATCATAAAAGCAACACAAAGAGAACAATGGAGGACAAATTAGCAGAAAATAACAGATGGTTTGAATAAAATCACAAAGAGAAAATTGATTGAGGAGGATATAAACTGCTTGGAAACAAAGAAGAAAGTTGGCCCAGTATATAGAAACTTGAACTATACACGTCAGAAGCACAACCTGAACAAGAAGAAGGAGGACCTCCCTGGTGGTCCACTGATTAAGCCTCCGTGCTTCCAATGCAGGGGGTGCAGGTTCGATCCCTGGTCAGGGAACTGAGATCCCACATGCTGCACAGTGTGGCCAAAAAATAAAAAATAAAAAAGGAGGACATGGAAAAAGCAATGGAGAGAACCACTTCCTTCACACTAGAATCTCCTCTATGGGAAAAGAACTTGAGAAAGCTGGATGGCAGCTCTATCGACTGAGAGAAAGCTTGATGAGCTAAGAAAAGAAAATAACAACAGATACTGGCTCATGCTGAGTTTAACTTGCAGCCTTTCCCAAGTGGTCCTTTCACTCCTGCTGCCTTTGTTCTACATGCAGCCCACAGAGCTCCAACCATATCAGGGGATCCATCCCCTGGATCATCAGGTCCCCAGGAAGGAGGAGGGTCACTCTGGAAGGGCTCAGGGACCCAGGGTCACAGGTAGCTTTGATTCAGCTTTCACAGCAGTGACAGCCACACCCACAGCAAGACATCTGCCTTTTTTCTCTTTTTTAAAAGTACTTTTGGGACTTTCCTGGTGGCGAGGTCGTTAAGAATCCGCCTGCCAATGCAGGGGACACGGGGGACACATCCCTAACCAAACCACCACAGTCAAACTTCACGATATTCTATTAGTTTAACTCTAAATTCACAGGTTAATTTCGGGGAGTTGACATTCTACAACCACTTTGCAAGGCAATTCAGACACTAACTAGCCAGAGTAAGGTTGAATTTCACAGGTTAAGGACACTGTCTCCCACAAGAGACTCTCACTTCAAGCATCAGCCCCAAGCTTGAGGGTCCTTGGGCCATGCACACTTCTGAGCAACTGGCTACCAACACCCTCCACGACAACCTCAGGTTTGATACTTTAACAGAATGACACACAGGACTCAGGAAGGTGCTATACTTAAGATTACAGTTTTATAATGAAGGGGACAAACCAGGACTAGCCAAATGAAGAGATGCATAGGACAAGGTCTAGGAGAGTCTAAGCATAAAGCTGCCATGTCCTCAGGACACATCACCCTCACACATCAAGTATGATTACCAAGCAGGAAAGCTCAACGAAGCCTCAATGTCCAGAGTTTTAATTAGGGTTTCATTACATAGGCAAGATTGACTGAATCACTGCCCACCTGACAACTCAATCTCCAGTCCCCCTCCCCTCCTGCGGGGTTGGGTTGATGTCACCTGGCTCAAAGCCAACCCTCTAATCACATGGTTGGTTTTTCAGGCCTGAAAGGCCCCCACCCTGAAACTACCTAGCGGCCCAGCATGAGGCCCCTCATCAGCATAAACTCAGATGTGGTTCAAGGGCTCCACCATGAATAACAAAAACACTCCTATCATTCCAGAAATCCAAAGATCTTCCAGGAACCTCGAACACAGGCCAGCCAAATTCTTCATTACACATTTGTTTCTTTTTGTGTGTGTAAGATATTCTTTGCTGTTTAAACATTTCTAAATTTTATGCAGTCAAAATAAAAGGTTTACTTTTTTTTATGACAACCAAACCAAACACAACAACAAAACAATACAAAAATAAAAACCTAGACTAGTAGCATTTCCCACCCCTCAGAACCCTAGAGTACAGTGTAAAGAAGATCACTCTATGAAATTATGGTTAATGTCTTCTTCAACCATGAGGTTTTGAAACCAAGCAGGGCCCTCCTGGATACAAAAGCATTTCCGTGTCCCTCATTTTTTTTTTTTTTTTTTTTTTTTTTTTTTGCGGTACGCGGGCCTCTCACTGCTGTGGCCTCTCCCGTTGCGGAGCACAGGCTCCGGACGCACAGGCTCAGCGGCCATGGCTCACGGGCCCAGCCGCTCCACGGCATGTGGGATCTTCCAGGACCGGGGCATGAACCCATGTCCCCTGCATCAGCAGGCGGACTCCCAACCACTGCGCCACCAGGGAAGCCCCCCTCGTTTCTTTTTTGTAGGAAAAAGGTTTCAGGATCCTAGACCTCCCTGAGTTCCAAAGGGCAGGTTCAAGTAGTTACTAATTAGGGGAGTGAGGGAATGCAGAAGCAAAGAAAAAGCAGTCAAGAAACAATAGTGCAGCAATAAAACAGAGTTCTAGTTCCCCCTCAAGGGATATACCTAATAGTCTGATATACATCTTTGAGTTGTTCTGCAGGAACTAAGACCCTCACCCAGGTGGAGTATGGTAACTACAAGCTGACACCCCAGATTGGTCAGAACCAGAAGGTTGATGATTGACATTCCTGGAATACCACCCTGTTACCTCACCACCAACCAATCAGAAGAAAGTCATAAACCCTGTAGCCCTCACCCCAAATGTTGCTTTTAAAAACTCTACCCTGAGAGGGGACTTCCCTGGTGTCGCAGTGGTTAAGAATCCACCTGCCAATGCAGGGGACGTGGGTTCGAGCCCTGGTCCAGGAAGATCCCACATGCCGCGGAGCAACTAAGCCTGTGTGCCACAACTACTGAGCCTACGTGCCACAACTACTGAAGCCCGTGTGCCTAGAGCCCATGTTCTGCAACAAGAGAAGCCACCACGAGGAGCCTGTGCAATGCAACGAAGAGTAGCTCCCGCTCGCCGCAACTAGAGAAAGCCCACACACAGCAATGAAGACCCAACACAACCATAAATACATACATACATACATACATACATACATACATACATAAATTCTTCCCTGAAAACCATGAGAGAGTTTGGGTTTTTTGAGCCTGAGCTGCCTGTTCTCCTTGCTTGGCCCTTGCAATAAACCCCTCTCTGCTCCAAACTCCAACGTTTTGGTTTGTTTGGACTCACTGTGTGTCAGGCACACAAACTGGGGTTTGACAACAGTTTCATTTTAAAACCTACATCTGAAACATTACCACCAGTGACATAACAAAGATCACTGGGAGAAGTTTTCCTTGGTTTGTTGTTAATACATTATACAGTTCTTCACCCACAGGAAGAGTTAAGCTCCTATAGCATCCCTGACACTTCCTTGAGTACCTACAGAAGATCTTTACGCAAGCCTGGCATTTGGTGTGAATTAATTTCTTCCTGAGGAGATGAGCTATGAAGACTACCAGACTGTTCTGGAAAACAGACAACAGTGGGGGAGGATGGCTGCCTTCCAAGGAAAAAACCAGATCATTTCCAACAATACTTAGAAAATGAAGGTGTGGTGAAAAATCTGTACAAAAGGCTTTAGTATAAGGTCATCCAAATATATCTGTACATAGAATGGGAAACACACAAAATGTGGTCTCATTAAAACTGCATGCTTGAGATTCTGAACTACTTCTGACTCATAGCTTTCTATTCATTCAAAATAGCAAAGAGAGTTTAACCAAACTTCTCATATAGCACAGTAAACATGTGAAGATACACCCACAACTATGTAAATTACTTAAATTTACCCTAAACTGTATTTGCTATATTTGGGGGTATGAAGATCCTATTTTTAGTGACCACCACTCTAATTTTTTAAAAAATGATTTCTTTAACTTTACATTTATAATGCTTTGTTGCTCCAATTACTACTACTTGAGAGTCCACCAGAGGCCAGGCACTGTTTAAGTGCTGGGATTACATAGATGAACAAGGCACATGATGTCCTCCCTCTCAAGGAGTTTATTTTATTTTGATTCTCATCTATTCAAAATAAAACCAAACCCCACAAGAAAATCAGGCATGGTTAATCCTCATTTTACAATGAAGACACCTAAACTTTACAGGTGAGTCACATGCCCAGGCCAGGTAAGTGGTGAAGTTAGGAAAGGGAGCAAGGCCTGAGCTTTCCACCACAAGCAGGCCCAGAGAAAAACTGAGTATTTTTAAATATGAAAGATCTCAAACCCAGGTAAAAAACATTCTTCAGTACAAAGTTACTCCCCCAAGCATCTATTTAAAAAATAAAAATAAAAGAGACTGTTTTTAACTTGCACAGAAATGAACTTGTTGGAGGATCCAGGTTATGTCAATTTCAACGCCTGCAGCTGGAAAGGCTCTGCTAAGCCCCTAAGCCCCAGATTTCTGTAGCTTTGGGAAAGGGTGGGTGGGGTGCAGAGGCAGCACAGAGCAGCACACCAGGCCGACCAACCACATACCTGGCACCTGGTGGGACTCCTTCAAGTCCAGGATATCCCTGATGTAGAGTTTGGCGAAGGCTAGAAACACAGGATCCAAACCCCACAAGAGGGAAGGAGTTTCCTCTTCACACCGGCTGGATTCAGACTGCATCAGGAGGCTGGGCTGTGGCTTCCAGCCAACCCTGAGAAGCTCTGCATCTAGAGCCGAAGAGCTAGATGGGAGACAAAAATCAGGACGCAAAGCTGTTAAAATGGATGAAATCCGCACGGCCCCTAAGCTGTTCCCAGACGAGCATCCCGAACTCTGGAAGGGGTAAATCCAGGGGTCCGGGGCCTGTCAAACTGCACGCCAGGGGCCTCCTAGAGCCGGTGGCCTCCTAGCGCCAGAAGGGCCAGGCCTGCGCGCTCCGGGGACCTGTAAAGAGGTGCTTCTCGAGTGAGGACCCGTGAGTTCCTTATGGCTCTTCCCCAGGAAACTCCTCTGCCCCATGGGAGTGTTTCTCCTTCTCCAAAAGTACCCATTTCTAAACGGTTAAACACCGACTTTTCACTCTGGGGACAGATGGCCATATATGCGTACCCTGAAACCGCTTTAATGGGTGGAGTCCAGAGAGGAATGGGCGTCCTCGTGGCCACACAACAGAGGGGCAGAGTGGCTGGGTCTGTCCGTAGCCCTGCCGCTGCACCTTCCGGTGTTGAGGATGACACTGAGAAAGGGTGTAAGAGGAAACGAAAAACAGATCAGCCGTAGCCCCTCCCGCCGGGCCCGCGCCCGCGCCGTCGGCCCGCAAGTCCCCGGAGCGCGCAGGCCCGGCCCTTCCGGCGCTAGCAGACCACTGGCGCCCACGGCCTGGAAGCGCCGCCGCCGGCCCCGCCCGGAGCAGGAGCGCTAGGCCGAGGTCACCTCTGGTGCTCCCAGCGGGGGGTGGGGGTAGGGCCTGACACCATCCCTCGCGCCAGACCAGCCACTGTGTCCCCGCCCCCGCCTTTCCTTCGCGCCGCCCGCGGCCCCGCCCCATCCCCACAAGGCCACGCCCCACTCCGCCCACGGCCACGCCCCATTTTGCGTCTCGCGGCTGCTTGGCCGGATGCTCTCTTCCAGGTGGTGGCGGGGTTGGCAGGACTACGCAGGGTCCGTTTGACTCTAGCAGCGCTCTCCCTGAGCCTCCGCGGGAGGGCAGAGCCCAAATCACCGAGGCTTGGGAGCTGGCCCTGAAACTCCTGCTGCCCAAACCCCGTCTTCCACGTCCCCCTTTCATCCCGACCCCACTAGTCGTGGGTCCCTGAGCCATGACCTCCGAGAGGTTGGGACTGGTTCAGACAACTCTTTTTTTTTCCGTCCCTGATATTGTAAATGAACACATAAACAAAGCAATACAAAAGCAGGATTACATTGTGGCGTATTTAAAATGTTTATTTACACTTGATAAATGATTTATTAACACACGCAATCTCTGGTACTGTACAGTCTCACTTTAGATAATGTCAGGATCTAAATTTGAGCCCTTGAGGGAATGCGAGGCCTTTGCTCTGCCCAAGACTAGCCTTCTTTGCAGGATCATGACAAAGTTTGTCTCCCTTCCTCTTACAATGTCTATACTACAGAATGTTGTACATTTAAGAATTTTGAAAACTGGCGTTCTGGTAAATTATGGCCACCTTGATGGTGCCTGTCCCCCGTAGTCCTAATTTAAAGTGAGAAGAGATAGCCATGTTGCATTCTGATAAATAAATAAATAAGCCACATCATGACATTACTTGAGATGGCAGGAGTTCTTCCTAATTTACTCCTCTAAAATGTCAGGAGTACAGGTCATGTTGGCAGGCCATTCCCAGGGGAGGTAAGTGGTGGCCAGAGATAATTGCTAAACTATTAAGCAGAGAAGGAACTCCAAGCAGCTGGAACAGAAAATGTATGTCATTAGAACGATGGCATTTAACTTAATTACATCCCTGGCCACTGAAGAAGCTAACAAACAGACTCGTTGGTAAAGCATTGCCCAGACTCTACTGTGATGAACAGTTGGATCTGTCAAGTTTAAGATTTAATTAAGAGAAGACACCTTTCTAATAGGGGGAGGTTCTCTTCAAGGAAGGACACCCAGTATGACACCCAGTAGGACGGGTGCTTCCAGCTGGCTTGTAAGATGGGGAAAGACAGGTTGGGTGACATTTTTTGACTGTACACATCTGCTCTAGGGTGGAACTCAAGAAGAAAATCGCTACTGGGTGTGTGCAGAGCGCGAGAAGTTTTCAGCGATGACTCTTATGACTCTCAAGGGTAGAGTGCTGGAAACAATGGCCCTTGGGGACTCCAAGCTTACTGCTGGCCTTGGGGAGGGTCACACCCTGTTGGGGTGACCAGAGCAGACTGCCCCTGAGGTCATCATTTACAGTGAAGGAAGGACTCCTTGGAGTCTAGGGATGCTCCTTTTGATCTGAGCTCAAAATGTGGAGTAGGGTGTGGAATGGAATTTTCTAGACTGCTGAAGCATCTAGAGGAGTTTGGGAGGATCCTCTTCCCTGTCATCTCCATCAGGATAGATTTCAGTTTCCTCAGGCCACTGCCTAGATGTGCAAAGGGACTGGACGGCTTTTCAGCTGGGGATTCCACAGCACTGCAAAGCAGATATTTCAAAACCCAACAGTCAACCCAATGCTAGGAACCTTCCTTATGGCTTCTCAATGTGAAATAACTTGGCTTTGCAAGCATGTTTGACAGACTAGACAATCCTTTCTAGAACGTTAAGACTTTAGGAAATTCTTCTGGAAAATGAGGTGTTGAACTGCATGTCTTCTACCTCAAAACGCAAACTGTCTTGCCTTAACCATTTTCGGCATTTTAGAATGTCTTTCGACAGGTAGAATAGAGTTTGTCCACTTGCAAGCTGAGTTAGATTCGAAGTTTAAATGAGTGGATGAGTAGTTTGAAGTTTATAATAAAGACAACTTATCAACATTCTTATTATGTTAATGTTATAACCCTGGGGGGCCATTTTCAGCCGCTCAGCATACTTTGAGCGCTCTCTGTATGCTATGGGGGAGCACTAAGAATTTTTATTTCGCTGGAGCAAAAAGAGGAATATATTAAATAACAAAGCAAGAGGCTAAATTGCATGGCCTGAATAATAACTATGTGGATTACAGGAGGTAAATTGGGAGTGAAGAGAAGGGGGCTCATCAAGTAAGATAATATATGTAACCACTGGAACAAGGTAAGCACTCAATACATATAAGCTATTATCATCATTCACTATGGAGTGGGGATTTAAGCTGGACTTTGAAACTATGGAGGAACTATTCATTCATTCATTCGTTCATTCATGAAACGTATTTGTCAAGCACTTGTCAAGCACTGTACTGGACACTGCGGGGTAAAGAGGAGATAAGATAGATCAAGTACAGCCCTCATGGAGCTTCCATCCTGTTGGGGGACAGAGGAAAGACAGCAGACAAATAAATGAATAAAATAAGTACAGATTGTTCTTAGTGCTTTGAAGGAATTAAAAGTATATTATGATCACTCATAATGGGGTGGGGGATCTACTTTATACAGATCTACTTTGATCGGATGAGATGAGACCCGAAGATGGGAAGGAGCCAGCCACGAAAAGTGCTAAGGAAAGAACATTCCAGGCAGTGGTCAGAGTAAGCGTGAACATCTGGAGGCAAGAAAATACTTCCCTATTGGAGGAACAGAAGAGAGCAAGGCGAGAGTGGCTGCATTAGTAATTGGAGACATAAGCAGAAGGCAGGTCCCAGAGGACCTCGTAGGCCATGACAGGTTGGAATTTTATTCTCAGTCTCCCTATAAGTAAAGAGAGGGATAGTATTGTGATGGGGTGAGAGCAGGGCAAAGGTGCAGGATGAGCAAGGCATGTCTGTGGGCAAAAGCCAACACAGCAGCCTGGCTGGGGAGGGCAGCTGCAGCAGAAGCAGGCTGGAGACCAAGGTTTTAGCTAGATTCTGAATGGCTTGAATTAGTTTTTATTTTTATTCCCTGTAAGCAATACGGTGTTGTTGATTATTGATCAGAGGAATGATTTCATGAATTTAAAAAATTTCAGGGAGGGCTTCTCTGGCGGCGCAGTAGTTGAGAGTCCGCCTGCTGATGCAGGGGACACGGGTTCGTGCCCCAGTCCGGGAAGATCCCACATGCCGTGGAGCGGCTGGGCCCGTGAGCCATGGCTGCTGAGCCTGCGCATCCGGAGCCTGTGCTCCACAGCAGGAGAGGCCACGACAGTGAGAGGCCCACGTACCGCAAAAAAAAAAAAAAAAATTTCAGGGATACCTGCCGCATCTAACATACTATGGTAGGGAATCCAAAAATATGTAAGAAGACTTCTCTACCCAATTTACTGAATCTATTCTAAAAATTGCGTCTAGGGATATTCACCAAATGACGGTGAAAAGACTAGTGTAAGAAAATACTGCTGGGTCTATTGCAGGGGCCTCACCTGTACCACTTCTCCTGCCTCCTCAGCGGTGTTGCTCAGTCCCCTGCCATGTCACCTGCTCCCGCTCTCTGGCTTCCCCTGGGCATATCCGCAGGCTTTCCCCTCTTTTTAAATGTCATTCAACTTTAAGAAAACAGCATCTCTGAAAACCCCAGCCCTTGAACTACTGTTCTCTCCCTCCCTTGCTCTCTGTTCAAAGTTAAATTTCTTGGAAGAGTTATATGCATTCCTCATCCACACTTCCTCATCTCTAATTCAATCTATCATCATTTGGCTCACCCTAACTTAACTTTCAACTATCTCTACCCCAGTCCACCACTCCACTGAAACTCCTCTCCTAAAGTTAACAATTACATTCAAATTCTCAAACACAATGGTACTTTCCTTTCCTTATCATGTTTCATCTTTTTTTCTGATTTTCTAGCTTTAGATGTTGATCTGATCATATTCTCTTCCTACCCACCTTGGTTTCCTGTTATCCTTTTGGGTTTCCCTTCTAACTTTCCGTTTCTTCCTTTGAAGTGTCCTCTTCCTCTGTTAATCTCTTACATACTGATGTTCCCCAAAGTTCAATCTCCTGCCCACTTCCTCCTCATCCCATGTACTGTTACTGAGTAGCCTAATCCAAACCTATGGCTTCAACTGAACCAATATTCCAGGGACTCTCCCCTCTTCACATTCAGCCCAGAACTTTCTCCTGAGCTCCACATCTGAAGTTCCAGCTGGACACTCCTGGGTACTGCAAACTAAACCTCTTCCTCCATAGTTCTGTCCCTCTCTTCCCTATCTCGTGAACATCACCACCACCCGCAAAGTCAGAAAACTGGAATGTTTCACGGATATCTCCCTCTCTCTCACCCTTAGATGCAATTAATCACAAAGATCTGTCAACTCTGCTTCCTAAATATGTTTTCTTAATTTAGTCCCTCCTCTCTGCTCCCATTTGCCATAGTCCAGACTTTCATCATTTATTGCCTGGATCACTGCCATCACCTTCCAACCAGTCCTTCTGCCTCTAGTTGGGCCTCCCTCCAATTTATCATCTATGTTACTGCCAGGATGATCCTTATAAAATGTAATTTAGACAATGTTACTCCCTTGTCTAAAATCTTTCAATGACTATATGTAGTCTGCAAAGTAAAGTTCAAGTTTCCTTGTATTTCATAACAGGTTCCTCGTGGCCTGGCCACGACCCAACTCTGTGGGCTCTTCTCCCACCAACCCCTCCTAGCTATCCTACTCTCTAGGTCAGCATCCCCAATGCTGTTCTGAGCTGTACTTCCTCAAGATATTAATAAAAATCTGGGCAAATGAGTTTGAGAAAGGATGAAAACACATTTCTACACAGTAATATGCATTGAGAATGTCCAAGAAATGAACAGAGTGGGTCAAGTTTGAGCACCAAACTCTATTAACATCTCAAGGAATTCAA